AGTCCAAACTCGTCAATGAAAAAACCAACGCCTCTACAATTTGCTGATTTGTTTTGTCAGTAAAATGACACTGACGCATGTCAGTAGTGCCAATCACCAATAAGTCTCTTTTAAAGTCTCCAAAACAGGCAATTCCTAATAGTTTTTGCCAGTGTAATTGCTGCTGACGAAACGTTATCACAAGTGACTGTTCTCGAAAATTTTTATCCATCTTAGAGAATGAAAAACGAAAGGTTTTGACGATGGCTGCATACTGCCAAACCGAAAAAGGAAATTCTATTTAGGCAAAAAATTTGAAACATTGTCATCTGTTACTTTTGCCAGGCATAAAAAGTGAAAAGTTAGTATGCAATAATTCAGTAACAATTCCCGTCATCCATCGTCGTTCACTCAACCTTATGAGGACCCTCAATGACTTGCAGTCCGATTTTCAAGCTTTCTAGTTGGTAATTCTCCCATCTGTTTTTAGCATAGCTGCATCATCGAGCGGTTAGTCTGTAGGCGACTCTCTCGTTTGTTTCACTTTTGAATCACGTAGTTTCGCCGTTCTCTTATGAAAAGCATTTGGCAAGTATTTAGCTGTTTCACGACGTTCATAGCCTGTGTTGAGCATGACCGACTCATCCTGAACGCTATCAATTCTGGAATGCAATGTGTTACCACATCGACTAGGAGGTCCACCCAGTTTGATGTCCAAATGAACTATTAATTCAAGAATATTATAATTTTTTGGGTTAAAAGCTTTTTCTAATTTATGAAATATCTCACCGGTCAGCAGTGCCTTTGGGAAATTGCTGGAGCGCAGTTTCGAAGAGCCTCTGGTCGTGCTGCGACCACTCCTCAACTTTTGAGATCTCTTTTTCCTCACTTTTTGCTGATGGTGAAATTGTTCCATTTGAAAACTTTTCGCAGGATGGATCCTCAGCGGAGAGCCGGAATGTTGCCGCTCGCATTCCATCCCGTGTCATGCCATTCATTTGCATCAATTTCACATATTCATCCTGCAACAAGAAAACTTTCTGCTAGCTTTCATTCGCTTTAATCACAAGTTCAGATGCATAGTCAAGCTATGTTGCTATAAATATGCATGGTTTTGTTTCTTCCCTGTTTATATTTATATTAATATTCCAGTGTGTGCGTTTATTTTACTTTTCTTTTATTCACTTCTACCTACTCACGTCTACTTAATCACTTATATGCCTTAGGAAATGCGCTTTCGGTTGCTCTTCTTTTTACAATTGTGAGTCATAAATCCTGTATCAGGCACTGATCAGTATACTGGCCAATCGGATATTTGTCCAAGTTACTGAACAACGTCTTTTACCGCAGTGCTTATAATTCATTAGGGACGTAAATCATGCTAAGTCATGTGGCACACATAGTGCTTTTTACCATTCTGCAAAATCTATAGCACAGTGCGTAAAACTGGTTCTGGAAAAACAGGAAAAGCCTCCGAGAATAAATTGGCTGCAAAGACATCTATCTATTCATGAGATAAATATCTTGCCACAACATTTTTAGTAAAGAGCTTGTTTCACAAACAAATAAGTCGGGAATAAGTGAAGAAAGCATCACCAGATTTCGAGTCATGCAGATTATCGACTCAATTACATCAGAAACTGAATTTCAATGGGCATGGCAAGTTCCTCGTTTCACTGACGACTGGTTAATGTCGTGTATCAGCGGTATTCGAAAATGCCCCGCCTGGGCACAGAATGGCAAACAAAAGACTGCTCAACGTGATATGGATGTACCCGATGTGTGGGCATATCTCACAAGTTCTACACTGATAATTAGGGCAAGAGAAAGGCATGAAGAGAGGGAACTGCACCAGGGAAAGAAGGAACTGTACTTTCCCACCACGTTTGTTTCAGTACAACAGTTCACACAATTTTAAATCAAACAGTTTTCCACTTATACTCCTTCAATTCATCTTTCAAAACTTTCATGGTTATGCTCGGAACGGAAAAGAATAGAAGCACCGATAACAGGGCAATTCGATACATCTTCGCCTTCGAAACAATGAAAGACGCGAAAAATTTAACGCTAACATTTACGTTGGGTTACCATCAGGCAATACAGTTTGGTCCACATTAGCACACACAAAGGTTGCCAGTCACAGTAGAATGAAATTTCATACCATCAAGGCAGTCTGGTCAATCCATTTTTATGCGTTTTTGCTGTGTAACAGAATTACAAAAAGCATATTGTCACGGGGTTGTCTGTGTGTGTGTTTGTGTGCGTGTGTGTTTCTGCAGCAACTTGTCCGCAACTTTCAACTCGGAAACCACAAAAGCTAGGAAGCTGAAAATTTAAGGGA